AACACTAAATATGGTTAATTATGGGTATAGCAACAATGTTTTCAAACATCTATACTTGGAATGTTTTTAAAATACTTAAATTGTAATTATAAAAAATTACAGTTATATGAATTTAAGTTACCTTCCTTAGATAAAAACATAGAAAAATGTCATAGCTTTAACAGTTAATTTTTAAATTAATTATAACAGAGCGTGTTCATACATTTTTAAAATAATTATAAGAGACCACATTTCATGCACATTTAAAAAAATATTCACAACTACCAATTACATTAATTTTTTTTCTTAGCAGTTCACCCCTAAAGATGATCTCAGTTGAGATTAAAAGTACTTTGGAAAATAAAAGTAATGAAAAAACTATGGTGCATTCCTTAATGAATTTAATAATAACATTAAGAAGGTGATCACAGAATTCAAGAGTATTAAAATAAAAATAAATAGACATAATATGTCCAGATTACTCAACTAAACATGCTTGAATATATATATATATATATATATATATATATATATATATATATATATTTTAAAGGAAAACAAAAACTATTGATGGAACCAACAGACAGCTTACCAAAACAAACTCTTATCCAGATATAGTCTTGAATAAAGACAATACTGAAAAAAAAAAGTGTAAACAGGCCTGAAAGCAAACTTACTCAGTCAGTAAAGTGCACAAAGAGGAGATTGCTTAGATTGAGCAAAAGATGCTTACCAACATTAAATTCTATATAAGGACGGCACTCGTCATAACTTGACTTTCATGCACACACAATCCTCAGATGACTTGAACTCAAATCACAACTAGAGCCATCCTTGCGTAGTGTGTGTGTGTGTATATATATATATATATATATATATATATATATATATATATATATATATATATATATCGAGTGGTGATAATCTGTTTCAAGCTTGAATGCAATTTTCAAGCCTTAAGATTACATTCAAGCAAACAGACTGTCATCCCTTGGGGCTGACATCAGTGTCCACTATTATATTTATAAACACTATCCCTGGTATTGAGCAATTTACCCACAAATATAGCATATAAATAAATAAAATACACTAAATGCTTACTTATCAGTGCTTAGAGTTTTATAGATTCTGAAATCCACTCACCAGTAGACAAAGGTATTTTTTTATTCATATATAAAATATATGTATATCATATTTTTAATGTCTTATCATATAGAAAATTCTTTTGACTCTGGATGAGTGAGTTTCAAAATTAAATGTTCCTTCGAGCAACAAGAGAGAGGAAGTTATGGTGACCCATGTCTTGAAAAGAAAAAAACTTATATCACAGGCTACATTGGTAACAAGCCAATATAGAATTCAAGAATAATTTAATGCCTCTATTCTTTACTGCCACAGTTACTCTTACAATAAACAATCTTCTTTTAGACTCTTACTTCTTCTTCTATGTGCCATGTCCTTTTATGATGTGGGCAATCATGGCTCTCCACAACTTCCTATCCTTTGTAGTTTCTTGTAAGTTTTATTCTTTTCACCATCCCCAATTACACAAGCTCGTTAGGTAGTTTACTTGCTGTTTCTCTCTGCTCTTCTTGCCTTCACTATGTCCTATGTGTGTCAAATTCTCCAATCTATCTTTTCTCATTATGCATCCTAGAAATTTCAACTGTTTCTTTGTGGTTTTAAATACCATCAGTGATGATGAATAGATGCCCTCTCAGGGAGGCACTGACCTCAAGTGGAACTTGTATATACAATCCATTGTTAAGAATGCAGGTAAAATGGTCAGCTCCCTGTAGCACTCCAGTAAGAACCTAGCTCCACCTGCTATCCTCTACCTTTACAAGTGCCAGGTCAGGCTGAAAATGGAGTACTGCTGCCATATATGGGCAGGGGCTGTACAAATTTCATTTTCCAGTCATCTTAGAGTCCAAAAGCATCCCCGCACCTTTGTAGATGACAAATTATTCTCGACCATCACTAACCTCTCACTCGCGGGTGAGATGTGGCAAGTCTCTCACTGTTTTATTCATGGGAAGTGCACAGACAAACTATATTTGCTGGTCCTGCCATTTCAAACCTTCATGGCAAGAACACACCATACAATTTGCATAGTAGCAAGACATCTACATTACTTCTGTATTCTATCGGTGAGAAGTAAGTTCCACTTGAACAGCTTCTTTCTACAAACCACTGCTCAGTGGAACTGACTCCCAAGAGGATTTTTCCCTGATCACTACAATCTTAACCTGTTCAAGGCTAGGGCTAACTGTTATCTTCCTCTCCTCTCTGCTCAAATTGCCTCCTGATGTAATCCTCTACAATTAGTGACTCCCAGACCTTGGAAAGAGTGAATTATAATGCAAAAAACAGAAATATAAGATTTCTTTTTGTTTCTATTTTCCTTAATACTTCCTTATTTGGCTATGAAGTAAATTTTCTACTTAATAAAGCAAATAAACTTTATGGCTAACCCAACAGATTGAATGACGATTCACAATTATTTTCTCTGCTTTTAATGAAATTTTTCTTTGTATTTCTGAGTAAATTTTGTCTTTTTACTATCTCTCCTAAACCCTGTTCTGCCAGTCATTTGCAGAAGCTCATTATGTAGGTTACTCACTGTTCCCCAATTACTTCCAACAGGTCTTGTGAGTGACAAATTCTCCAAGCCCTCTTTCCTCATTATGTGTGCCTGTTCTTTCATCCATTTACACAAGCTTATTAGGTAGTTTACTTGCTGTTTCACAATGTCTCTCTTACCACCATTATGCCCTGTGAGTATCAAATTCTCCAAACGTTCTTTCCTCATTATATTCCCTAGAAATTTCAGCTGCCTCTTTCTGATACTGTGTATGTGTCCTTTTATCCATTTCCCTTAAACATTCCTCATTTCCCACATGTTCAATCCATGGTATTCTTAGTATCCTTCAGCAAAACCACATCACTGTTGTCTCAAGTCCCTTATTTCTCTATGAGGAGATTTTCCAGCATTCACTGCTCTATAGGACAACTGATATTACATAGCAAAAATTCCTCTCTTTCTTCACATTTTACTTCATTTTTGGAAGACATCTTTTGCTTTTTTGTGATGTTTTCATATTTCAGTGTCACATTTTCTGTCCTCTGCTAAAAATATTTTCCAGATATTTAAATTTTTGTATTTGATTTTATCATTGCTCACATGTTCAGTCCATGATATTCTCAGCATCCATCTGTCAAACCGCATTTCTGTTACCTCAAGTTTCTTCTTTCTCTATGGAATTTTCCAGTATTCACTATGTCATGTGAGGGTTAAATTCTCCAAGCCCTCTTTCCACATTATGTGTCCTATATATATGAACTGTTTCGTCATAATTTTAAATGAAAGATTGCTTTTTGTTCCCATTTTCTTTAAAATTTCCTCATTACTTACATTTTCAGTACATGGTATTCTCAGCATTGGTTGGCCAAAATGTTTGTTCAGTTGTTAAGTAAATTTTCTAGTTAATAAAGCAAACACTTCTAGGAAAACCTAAAATATTGACTCATATCACATAACAGTTCAGCACTCTTTTCTCTGCTTCTAATGAAATTGTCTTGATCCCTCATAATTCACAACTAAAATAGTCAAAGAACATAATACCATCTTCAGGGTTATAATCACAGTAAGGGTAATTAAAATTATCATTGCTTAATCTGGCAGTTAAGCAAATGACTGGCTCATAGAATTCAAAGCATTTGTTGATTCCAGTGTCTCTATTCATCATCATTGAGACAAAACTGTCTGGACATAGCTGCCCACTTTCCCTTCAGAATAATGTTTGGCAGATTGGCATAGAAGGTCTGCAGAATCACAAGAGAATAGAGGAGATAGGATTGAGGAGATGATTATGGGAAATGATTCACTAATTCTGGAATAGGGAAAGAGAAGTAAAAGATTCAAAGGAAAGGGGATGCTATGACATAGAATCTTTAGTAAATTCTCCATTTCCATTTTCCTCTGACAATTGAATGTTACAAATATTTTTTTGACAGATTCAGTCAGTTATGTGCCATGCGTGATACATGCTTAGGCAATCATGTATCCTTCGATACATCACTGACAAGGTATATTTTATCCTCAGTAGGTTGCCATTTCTTTCTGTGGTAAACCAGTTGCCATCCAAGGCTATAGAACCCACCCTCTCCTGCTATTTATCCATAGCTGCAGAGGGAGAAGAAGAGGATTCATGCCCTTCCCAAGGGTATTAGCACATAAGTGAATGCAATGGATTTGACTGGAATTTGAACTCAGCTCTCCGATTCCATAATCTGAGCCTCTATCCATTAAAGGATAGAGCGATGAAGAAATGAGTGATTTTCACTTGAAATGAAATGTGAAATCATTGCAAAACATGAACGTGGAGTAAGTGTTATTGATTTTTCCCAAAGGATTTTGAGCGTAGTACTTCAACAATATGCTCTATTCTTAAACAGAAAACTATAATGCCAGTCAAGAGCATTACAGTTCTTTCAAAGTTTCGGACTCTGCTTCATGAAGAGATGGAAAATCTGTGATTGGTGTGGGTGCATGAATAACAACTCGCAAGGGATACCGTGACAGAGGTAGTTATTTTTTAGAAGGCATGAGTGATTTACAGTGACTTGCTGAAGTAGATACCAGGCACTTCAACAGACTTAGACTCACAAGATTCATTTAAAGTTAGTTGTTTAGATAAACTGAGGAAGAAGTCTGGCATTCACTCCATCATGAGGCAAGTGCTTATAAGAAGGCAGCAGAAGAAAACTTTCACTGAATTGATTGAAGCAGAAGGATACATCAACAAGCCAAAGAGGACTTAGCAGTGGAGAAGAATATACCAGGCCCCAAACCCATGAAAGATAGGCTAACCCTCATATTGTGTGCAAATAAGAGCAGTGACTGCAAGATTAAACCACTTCTTTTCTACCATTCTGATAACCCCCAAGCCTTTAAGATGCACAAAATTTTAAAAGAAAACCTGCAGGTTATGTGGAGGGTAAACCCAAAGATGAGGGTGATGAGGCAGTTCTTCATCAATTGTATAAACCTGGTCATTGGTCCTTCCATTAAAAAGTTTCTCCAAGAGCATGACTTACCCCTGCAATCCCTTCTCATCCTTGATAATGCTCCTGCTCATCTATTGAACCTCGAGGATGACATCCTCAAAGAGTTCTCTTTTATTCATGTTCTTTTCCTCCTACCAAACACCACTCCTCTCCTCCAACCTATCGACCAGCAGGTGATTTCTATTTTCAACAAGCTCTTCACAAAGCACCTGTTTCACCTCTGTTTTGATGTAACAGAGAAAATGAAACTCACCCTTTGTGAGTTCTGGAAGAACAATTACAACATTGTTACTTTCATCATATTTATTGATATGGTTTGGCAGCAAGTTATAAGGAGGACCTTGAACTGTGCTTGAAGGAAGCTGTGGCCTGAGGCTATGACTGAAAGTGTCTTTGAAGGTATCGAACAGGAGGTGCAAGTGAGAGACAAGCTTCAGAAGGTCTAAGGGCCTCAACGTGGATGAAAGCAATGTGAATGAACTTGTTGAGGAGCACACAGAGGAGTTGTCTACAGACCAGCTAAAGGACCTACAGGAGATACAATGCACAGGTTTTAGAGGAGATTAAGGGTAGTATGAAAGGCAGAGGAGGAATAGGTGGTTATCTCTACAAAGGAGATACAGAAAATTTGGGTGATGTGGGAAGAATTTGTGGTCTTTATAGAAAAAAAAGATCCAGAAAAAGTGTCGACTATCCATGCATTGATGCTGTATAATGGCATTTGCCTAATGCATTTCAGAAAAATTCTGAAGAGAGGAAGAAATAAACAAGCATGGAGAGGTTTTTATTGAAACAACCTTCAGTTCAAAGTCAAGAAAAGACAAAAACTTGATGAGCTTGAAAAATCAGTGACAAAGATTAAGTGTTAAGTAAAAAATAATAATGTACATAATTTTAAATTTAGTGCTAAGTAAAAAAAAAAAACAGAAAAAAATTGTAGCAAATAAGTGTACATATGTAACACCAAAGGCAATAAAAAAATTAACTGTAACAAAAATATTTAGCAATTAAGTTCATTGATAAAGTGAATTAAAAAATAAAAATTAGTATTCATAAGTTTTATGAGCCAACAAAAAACTCCACAATCTGTCTCCTACAAGACCCTCACTTCAACATCTGCCACCCACTCCCAACTCCAAGTTTAATTTACCGTTATTCAGTACTGCCTGTTAAACATCAGGGTAAGCTAGCATATTTTATTATTTTTGAAGCACTATTTGTTACTACTACATTCATACAAGTATTCTATTTTATTTATATTATAGTAAAATACATTTGTCATGTTTAAAAACCCTATTAAAAAATATGTTATTTTATTGGAGGAATTGGAATGAATTAATGATATTTTAATTATTTTAAAATAGGAAAATATCTTTGTCAAACGAGTAACTTAGGAAATCGGTTATGGAATGAAGTAGACATATCCTGAGGTTCTACTGTATCTTGATTGTCTCATTATTTTGTTGTTTGATGACATGTGCTTGCTAAGTAATATTATCATGGAGTGAATATCTGAGCAACAACAAAGTCTTAGGGAAACTAGAAACAAAAAGGACACTTATATTTATCATCAGAAAGAGAGAGCTGAAATTTCTAAGATACAGAATGTGGAAAGAGGGCTTGGAAAATTTGAAACTCATAGGACAAGTGGAAAAGAGGTCAACATTGCATAATCTACCTAACAAAATTGTATAAATGAATGACAGAACAGTGTTTAGGAGAGATAGCAAAAAGACAAAATTTATTAAGAGCTCCAAAAGACAGGAAATTGTGCATGATCATCAATGTTCGGATGGCACATAGAAAAAAAATCCAGTTTAGATATTGTTGATGTTGGGAGTCTTCAAGTGAGGTGGTTTTTGTTATTTGGTAAAGATCTTTTGCTAATCTGTAAGATTTGATCACAGATAATCTTCTTTAAGACTTACAGGATTCATTCACTTTGTTGTATCCATAAAGAAATACATGAATAAAAAATGAATTATCTTGTCATGGCATCATGTCCATAAAAATATAAATAAAATTTAACTATAGTGTCAAAAATAATTATAATAATTATACTCATCATTAATTCACTCTTTCTAAACCAATGAGAATCAACGCCACTTTTCTCCTCTAGAGGCAGAAATATGTGACATTCTCTCCGTTGGACAAGTAGTTTGCACGGGCAGGTCATCAATATGTGTGTCAATGAAAATTTTGGCTCCTTTTCCTTTTCAGGCCATAATAGTAACACTTAGCACTCAACAAAAATTCCAGGTAAGTAAACCCAAGTCACTTCTTGTATTTTCCAACTAAATTATCTGGATTTATATTGAACGTATATCTAAAAAAAATCAAGTCCAGCTGATATCCTCACATTAGTTCTAATAGTGTTCACTAGTTGAAATTTAGAAGAAAAAATAATCTCCAGAAGCTTAATTTGTCGAGAAATTAATTTTTGGGTACCTGATGTATTTATTAACCAACTAGTTACAGTTTTACAAAATTTGAACTGTTTTCCAATTTTGACTTCATTTTAATCTTCCTTTTGCTGATTTTGTCCAAAATGAAAATGTAAATACAAAGGACAAGGAAAGCTTTTAAATGTGTTTGAATAAGATAATTTAAATAAAATATTTTTATTTTAATTTTTCAAACATATATGAACTTATTCCTTCTTTAACCTCACAAGTTGGGAATTCTGTCTTGACATAAACTAATTATATGGAAAGAAATATGGGCTTTAATTTTTAGTTTTTGATACTGCATTGTTTATTAACATTAATCTGTGATAGGTTTGGTTTGCTTTGGTTAATGCAGTGGTTCTCAACCTTTTTTTTTTTACCCCTTAATTATTTTTAGTGGACCGCCATAATCATTCAATGAAAAGAAAAATTTATTTTATTTTTTACTCATAGATAAGTTTAGGAATTGCATTATCAAAATAGTAAATGTATATGCTTTATTTTTAAGTAAAACTGATCTAATGAAAATAAACTTGTATTTAACAACTAAATTCTATGGAAAATTTATGTACACTAGTACATATATAGGCCCTCAGAAATTGCCCCTGCTGCTGACGAGGTTAATACTGTTAATCCTTCCTTTGCATATAATCCTTATACAATAAATATAATCAATTTTATAATTAATAATTCATTATTTTAAATATTTTATATTAATTAATTTATATTAATTTATTAATACTTTATTTTATTAATATTTAAAATTAATATTATTTTTTATTATTAATATGTTAATTTATATAATAAATCTTTCTGTATTTTTTTATTATATATATATATCAGGTCATCCCATAAGTTCTGTTCGAATTTTAACCTTTTCTTAAAATGAACAAAATTTAAAGAGTATTTTATAATGTCTAATAGAGCTGAACATTATTTTTATGTTTAGATGCATTTAAACTGATCAAATTTTATTTCAGAGAACAATAAAATTAAATTTTGTTTGATTAAAACCCTGTTTACATGGAAGTACCCAAGAATCATTTGAGGCACATAATGCTTTATGAGTTCAAGAAAGGAAACTCAGCAGCTGAAGTGGCTAGAAACATTCACTAAATTTATGGAAAGGAATGTGTGAATGAAAGAACTTGCAGAAGATTGTTTGCAAAATTCAGAGGTGGTGATTTCACCCTTGAAGATGAAGATCGAATCGGACGTCCAGTTGAGTTTGATGAAAAGCTTCTTGAAGCAACCCTTGAAGAAAATCCTGCTTTATCAGTTGAGGAATTGGCAGTAGTTCTCAGTTCAAACCATACAACTGTTCATCGTCATCTTCAACAACTTGGAAAAGTTCCTAAACTTGGAAAATGGGTGCCCCATGAATTGTCTGAAAACAACCTCAAATCCTGAGTTGACATCTGCTCTTCTCTCCATTCTTGCCAACTTGTTTCACCTTTTTTGGATAGACTTGTGACTGGTGATGAAAAATGGATCTTTTATCGAAATGTTAAGCATCGTAGACAGTGGCTTGGTAAAGGGGAAGGACCCCAGCTACAGCCAAGAAGGGAACTTCATGGGCAAAAGGTTCTTCTTTCAATCTGGTGGGATCGCCAAGGAATAATCCACTTTGAATTCTTACCACCTAATGCAACAATTAATGCTCAAATATACTGTCATCAATTAGAGCATTTGAACCAAGCTTTGAGGAAAAAAAGACCTGCTCTAGTGAATTGAAAAGAGGTGATGTTTCATCAGGACAATGCGCAACACCACACAGCAAGAAGCACGTCACAAAAGATCAAAGAACTTGGTTGTGAGAAAATTCCTCATCCACCTTATTCTCTCAATCTTGCTCCTTCAGACTACCATTTGTTTTGAAGCTTACAGAATCATTTGGAAGAAACAGCTTTTGTAAAACAGGAAGAGGCTAAAACTGACATTTGTGAGATCTTCGAATCAAAGCCAAAAGAATTTTACAGTAATGAAATTAGTAAGCTTGTTAATAGATGGAAGGGAGTCATAGATAATCAGGGAAAATACATTGTTGATTGAATCTGTAATTAAATGTAACATTTGGTCACTTGTTTTCTTTATTCAAAATTTGGACAGAATTTATGGGATGACCTGATATATATAATCTTTCTTTTATATATCCTTCTCAGTTTTTATTCAACTTTACAAACATCCGGTAGACTAAAAAGGGTGCTAATTTATAATGCTAGTTTTAGAGGTTTTTTTTTCTGCTTTTAGTATTTTTAGTATAGATGACTGTAGAAATGCCAATTCTCAGTTGTAATAACCATACAGAAGTGAAGTTGCTCCATGGACCACTAAAATATTACTGTAGACCCTCAATTTGCTATTGTTTTGTGTGGATCCCCAGTAATGTTACATGAATCTCCCACCATTAAGAATCACTGGGTAAATAACATATCAATCTTTTTGACAGTATTTAATGTTGAATCTTGTCATTTTGTTAAATAGATAGTCAGACATAGGTTTAGTTTTCATTCAGTCAGAAAGGTAAACAATTTTCACAAGAGTTTAAAAGGTAGACCTAGATTTGGTTTCCACGAGACTTGAAAAGATAGACAGAGACTTGGTGTGTAATGATACAATAAACAGTTGACCCCTTTTGTAAGAGAGGATGGGGTGACAGCTTTCAGTTACATCCTAATTATGGACTTATCCTTTCTTTACCCTCACTTATATGAGGTACATTAATATGATTTAACATGATTTAATTATGGACATCTCTTCTTTACCCTCACTTATATAAGGTACTTTAATATGATTTAATATGATTTCATT